CACAGTCCATAAATCTAAATGTCTGCAACTGATAGAGCTTGGTAATAAATCTGGGAAGTTCTTTAATTCTAGTTTCTGAGACATCCAAGTACTTCAAATGCTTCAGTTTTCCCAATAGGGCTGGCAATCTGTCAATATTAGCACCACGAAAACTAAGGACTTGCAGCCTTTTTAAGTTTACAATCATATCATCAATATCAGCACCATAGAAACTGTGAGCCTGTGGCAACCTTTCAGCACCATAGAAACTGGAAGCCTGTAGTAACCTTTCAGAATTTATCAGCATGTTGCTAAAAACACCAACATTTGAAAACAAAGTACGCTGTTTCTGAATAACATCCCTTACATGTGTGGTTGCCATACCCGCACCATAAATGAGATTCAAATGGCGAATGTTGTTAGAAAAATTGTTTGTACTTCCATTATCCAATATCAAAGTTTCAGACTTTGAAACAGATTTTGCAAGATCATGCATTAAATCATGCATCTTGCAAGTGATAATACTCCCACAAGAATCCCTTTCTACATCTTGGAAGAAGGAACATGATAATAAGTAACTGAAACACTGGTCACCAATATCCTCCATCTCTATGGAACTATCCAACCCTTGAAGAAATCCTTCAGCCATCCAAAGCTGAATTAACATCTCCTTTTCCATAACAAAATTTTTTGGGAAAATGGAACAGAATGCAAAACATTGTTTCAAAACTAGTGTTGGCAAGCGATCAAAACTCAATTGCGATACATGCAAAATTGCATTGTAATTGTCCACTTCAAGTGAGCCCCATGCGCCAATCTTCTCTTTAACTGATAACCATTCATATTTGTTCCTGTTATTGCACAAAGTCCCCCCAACAACACTTGCAACTAATGGTACACCATTACATCTTTTAGCAATCTCCCTTCCAACATGCCCCAATCTTGAAGGGAATTCAGAGTTTCCAAATGCTTTCTGCTTGATTATAGACCAACAATGATCAACATTTAGTTGCCCAATTTCAAGAAGTGATCCCATCATTGATGCTACATTGTGATTTCGAGTTGTCACAAGAACCGCATTTCCAACTTTTTTACCTATTCCCTGCAAAAGCCTCTTCAACTCCTCCCATTTTTGCCTATCTTCATTCCATACATCATCTAGAACAAGAAGATAATTTTTCCCCTCCAACTTCTCTTTTAATTAATTCTCTAACCATAGCATCTTGATTTGCTACAAACTTACGTTGGGTAAGGGATTCCAGCATCTCTCCTAAAATACTTTTCATATAAAAATGTCCAGAGACACAGACCCATATTATTTTAAAAAAATGTCTCTGCACTTGTTTATCATTACACACTACTTTTGCCAAAGTAGTTTTTCCGAGCCCTGCAAGACCCACAATGGACAATACTCGGAGAGGTTGATCATCATGACTTGAATCAATCAACATTTGAACTATTTTCTGGGCATCTCCTTCTCTTCCTACAACTTGGGAAGGATCCCCAAGAGAGGAGTCGGTCTGTTGGTGTTCTCTATGTTGAGGAATATTATTTGAAAGTCTATATTGAAGCCCTAATCCAGTGGCCCAGTCATTAAGTTGAGCTAGGTCTGAATTTAAATCCTTAATCCACTTAGCCATCCTATGTCGAAAAATTAGAGGGTTGGACTTGGAGAGAGTAAGGAAGTAGCCAACCTTTCTTCTCCACATTTGGTTTTGATCAGTTTGAGCAGCCACCTTAGCCTTCAGATTTTCATAAGCAATCGCATCCATGACATTCTCGGCCTCATCAGCAATACTCCGAAGCTCCTCAAGCCAAGGCTTCAAATCACAGTGACCTGTTACTTTCTTTTGTTCTGCATCTTGCAGCACTCCCCTGACCATGTTCAGCATGACACGAAACTTCTTCAACTCGTGCTTGAAGTTGAATCCCACTGCTAAGTTGAGTTGCTCAGTAGCAACTGAAATCACCTTGGATAATGTGATGTCCACAACAGTACCAAGGATCGCATCACCCATTTTTGCTGCTGTAGTAGTTTGCAAGAGAGAAATGGTTGGAGATTGACTCTCCTTCTACAGCACAGAAGAAGAAAGAAAGCACTGCACAGCTGGATAATTAATAAACAATAAATTTAGGAAATAGGTGGATCCTAAATAATGAATTATTTGAGTGTGAAGGATCAAAAGTCATAAAAGTACGTCGACTGGAATAGACAAACTAACAAAGAACATTAAGTGAAGGATTAAAAGTCATCACACAAATAAATTTTCGACTAACGAAAGTGACAAAAATTCACACCCCCCCCCTAGGCCTCAGTTTGAGCAGCCACCTTAGGCCTTAGATTTTCCTAAGCAATCGCCATCCATGACATCCTCGGCCTCATCAGCAATACTCCGAAGCTCCTCAAGCCAAGGCTTCAAATCACGGTGACTTGTTACTTTCTTTTGTTCTGCATCCTGCAGCACTCCCCTGACCATGTTCAGCATGACACGAAACTTCTTCAACCTCGTGCTTGAAGTTGGAATCCCACTGCTAAGTTGAGTTGCTCAGCCGCAACTGAAATCACCTGGGATAATGTAACGTCCACTGCTAGATAATGAATTATTTGAGTGTGAAGGATCAAAAGTCATAGAAGTCGACTGGAATAGACAAACTAACGAAGAACATTAAGCGAAGGATAAAAAGTCAACGCACAAATAAATGTTTGACTAACGAAAAGGCAAAACAACCTCTCAAGCCTCTGTACTTTACCAACTATGAGCTACAAACCCCTAAACTAAAAAAAGAGCACATAAGCCCTTGAACCCATTAAAGTGAAGCAAATCAGCCCTTGTGCGAACGGCAACACCAATGCCGTCTTTTTATAAGTCTTCATGGCAAGCCTTTTACATGCTGCACCCAATGTGTCTTCTATAAGCTCATGAGTGGGCATTTTTCTGTCGGAACATGTGCATAATTATTTATTAAAAAATCATTTTTAAAGATTTAAGTGGTGATAACATAAAACAAAAATTTAGACCAATGATACATCATAAATTATGTTATTAAATGAGTTAATATATATAATAT